CTTCCACTCTGGGGCTGTGTGAGGCACAGATCCACTGATCTTACCCATCTTACCAGGTAGAAAGCCAGCCCCAAGCAGAAAGAAGCACCGACCTGCACAGAAACTGAAGGCATGATCGAGTGTTGACATGGTCGGCAGCAAAACCAATTTAAGCTGTCTACAAGAAATAAATAATATAGTTTAAGTATACAATATTTTCCCTGCATCAGCATGAGACTCCACTGGAAAAAAACAGGAATTTACTTTGCTAAAAATGAGACATGTTTATGTATAGGTTCCTCAATGGGTTAGTTTGTGCTACTCTCTGACTTGAAATGTGTCAGTTCAAATTAACCAATAAATTCATTGATGCATCAGCTTTTGTCAACATTATGTAAAATAAGGTCCTACCATCTAGCTTCGTATGTCTTAAACCATCATGTTAAACATGACTACTGTCTTTCTAGAGCAGGGGTAGGCAACTCCAGGCCTCGAGTGCCGGTTTCCTGCAGGTTTTAGATCCCACCCTGGGTTTACACACCTGAATCAAATGATTAGTTCATTACCAGGCCTCTGGAGAACTTCTAGAAATGCAGAGGACTCATTTAGCCCTTTAAATCAGCTGTGATGGATCATGGACACATCTAAAACCTCCAGGACACCGGCACTCGAGGCCTGGAGTTGCCTACCCCTGTTCTAGAGCAACACACTGCAAAATTGCACCATTAGCAGGACTGTCATCTGTCTTACTTTTTACCTGAACTGTTTGCAACTTCTCATCACAGTGTAAGGGATGTTGCAGCCCTGATTAGTAACAGGGAGCTGGATAACATCTGAGACACAGATGTTAACTGGCATTAGGAAAAACAGGCAAGATCTGTTTAACTAATCAGAGTTGAAAAATTTAGTTCAGAGGTTGTGAACTCGTAGCTCTGAACCCACATACAACTCTGCCAGCCTGCAACCCCCAATTCATCTACAGGCAAAAGGTTCGATGAACATAACTATAAAAATGACAATGCTAAGTTGAGGTACCAACAATCATAAACAGCCCACTGAACAGTAGTCAGGTTTGGTAACATTCTATTTTTATTACAAGGTTCAGACATATTTTGTGGATCTACACGGAATTTTGTTAGTCAAATAAACTTAAAGGTTGCCGACTCTTGGTCTAGTCAACGAATCCATCACAGACCTTCCGAGGGTTCCACAAACCCGCTCCGGTTCTCTAGAGGTCCTGGCACATGAAAGTTTTCCGTCACTGGGATGATGAGCGACAGTCTGAGCGTAGATTCGGGGTGGAGTATAGCATTATTCAGCAACCACCAAATTAAAAGCTCAACAAATGGTGTAATTTTGTCACCCAAGAACTTTGGCTTGACTCAATATGTAATTTAGGAAGAACGGCCCCAACCATGCAGCTTTAGATGTGCACTGGCTTGTAACTCTAAACCACACGCATGTATACACACCCACACTAATTATGTGAAACAGAAATCTTTCTAGAAGTCAAGTTGTTAAGCACAGAGGTACTACAAGCTGTTACTATGACACCATGGTGGGTGATGTTCCAACCACATCCTCCCATCGCTTCAGAGAAAGAGTTTGACAAGAAGCGATGGTGTGAAACAAGCCGTCTCGTAAACGCTGGCCTACTCCTTCGCCACCAACATCTCAGTGCATTACTTGATCAGTCATACCTATCAGGAACAAAAACAAATACCTGCAAGAAAGGATTTCCTTGTAGTCAAGGGCACAGCTTGCTGCGTTCTTGATTTACTGGATGTATTCCTCAGGATATTCAGAGAGAGTTTAGTCATCACGCAAGTGGAACAGTGAATGATTAGCATGTTGCAGTTTTATTTTAATAATTTCAGCTTTAAAAAAGGAAAATTTGGAAGAGAAATTCCACTTTAGTTAGCTTTATTGTTAGTGGGGATTTCTCTTAATTTTTTTAACCCATTGCTGATTAATAATTTCACTTCCTGTATGAACACAAATCTTTTCACCCAACTAACGTCTCCTAATGGTGGCCTACTGTGACATATGTTTTGTCTCCAACTTGTCGTAAGTCGTCTCTGCTGTGATTCACTAGATATTTATCCATCTGCGTACTGTGTTGCTAAGGAAGTGCCACAAAACCATTTCAAACTGACCTGAGGTACATTTCACATATTTCATTATGCTTTGTCATGAAGGCTACTGTTATACAATCTGATATGGCGGTTATTGAATTTAGGTCATTGAGCATTTAAGAAGGATTTCTCATCTGCATGGATAGCCTGGCACTGCACCATCATGTGGAAATCTCTAAACCAGTTAACTAAAATTGGACAGTTGCATGAAGAGCATCGATTTCTGCCTCTTCGTGAACAAAATGTTCTCAGTTCAATCAAAAATATCTTCAAGAAAAAGTCAGAAATCTTTTCACATCTATTATATTTAAATAAACGTGTCTGAATTCAGGGCATTTCTTAACACGTGCCTTCAGATGTCTCGGGAACTAAGACGGACTCTTGCATAGTGAGAGATTACTTGGAATTTTGCACCATTGATTGATGTCGATATTATCCCCATCAATCATCAGGTAACATCAAAGCATAGCAGCTGCAATTTCCCAAGAATTTGCCTCCTTGCTGAACCTGTTGGCAAAAATGTGAGCACCTGAACCCGCCCTGCATCCAGAGCAGAGGAACTTTCCTCAGGTATAACATCGCAGATCGAAAACTGGGTGCTCGTTTTGTGTTAATGCACAATTAGGACACAGACTTCACTCAAAAGCACGCTGCTCTCTGATAGGTGCCACTGAATAAATTCCTCACATGGCTCGTGCATTTTAAATCTGGCAGGCCCCTGAGGAAATCAAATCCCTGGTCTAACAGCTGATTTACTGACCTCTAGAAGCCAAACGTAAACACGTATTTTAATTAAAAAGGCACACATTTCTGAGATCTTTCCGGAGCCATTTTGAGTCTCTGCTAGGTTAACGTTTACCAGGCACAGTATAAATAATGTGAAGAACAGAGTAGTGAGCAGTTTGTTCAGTCTAGACAGCATCTCCAGTGCAGTCTTGTGACTCACATTGTGACAACAACAGTAGCAGTGGGAAAATTTACATTACAGAGCTGCTGACATTAGCTAAAGAAAATGTCTTGGGGCTTTCGACATAATGTGCAACGTGAGGAAGTGTCATCATCTTTGATACCCTTAAGCAATATTCCCAACATCTACACCCATGAGGTGACTAAACCAAAAGACAAAGCTTTAGGCTGAGAACCAAAATCAAATTACGAACCAGCACATTAGACCTCTGTATGCGTCAAATGTTTAGTATTTGCATACCTCGCAGAAACGCGCACACTTGTGCATTTCAGCAGCCTTATTAGTATTCAGAATCAACACCTGGAACATGTTAAGTCTTGCTCGCAGACTCTCGCTGACCACATGGCTCTCTCCCAGCAGCATTTTCTTGTGTTACCTTCTACATTATAAATACTATGATAACAGTGTGCAGGACTAATCTTAAAATTGGTGCATAGGTGCAGGATTTTTCTGACAATAAAAACATGCCTTAAGGAACCAGTGACGTTTCTCTTTTTTTTGGCGAAGGTGGGGTGATGGGGGGGTTCAAAGGTATGTCGATCATACACAGAAATTCAGCACGATGAATTTGATTTATGGTGCATAAGTTGCAGATCATTTCTAATCAGTCAAATCAGTGGTTGCTTTACAAATGAATTTACAGATAAAATGTGAGAAGTGGTTGAAAATGCAAACCCAGCCTTCTCGAGCCGCTCTTTGCACAGCTTGAGAAGATTGGCTTTGGTATTTTCTGCTCTACAACTCCTTCCAGTTGGAAACGGTGGCAGCGCTGGTAGCTGGAAGTGGACCAGAGGTGCGCAAGGAGACGACTATAAAGAATAGAATGAAGAAATTCAAATCGGGTATGGCTTTTGTTTTCTACGAGTGGAAGTGCAGAACTTTTTGATTACAACAAGCCACGCACACAATGCAGGGATGTTCTTCTTGTCAGGCGTTGCTCGACATGCATCCTGACTTTGACAGGAGGAAAACACTGGAGGAGCTGACTGTTTTATGATTCATAATGTTAAAGACCTCTCTGATTGACAGCCTCAGCAGACTGAGGCAAAACGATTTGTTTGCATTTTGGAAAATGGGGTTCAGTGAATTAACTATCAACTTTTTTGTTGTTGTTGCTGTGTACCACCAGATGTACTGAAAAATATAACAGGATTAGTAATTAGTAATTTTCAGGTAAGTTTGGAAGCGCTTTGGTGCAAGCCCAAATTCACTAGCTGCCAAGCTGAGGCATGTTTGGTTGAAGTAAGTTCAAGATAGCTCACTGTTATAAAGACATGTTTTTAACCCCAAGCAATGAAAGATGCTCCCAAAGTCAGTAAGTGACACTGAGTAACTACTATGATTACAATAATCTGTCTGATCTGCCATAATCAGACAGCACTAGGGAAACATAAAACATTTTTAGTCGTGCATAACATTTTATTAAGAGCTCCAGCTACTATCATTACCCTTCCACTCTCTCATCCCCACTTTACCTCAGTCAGCTTTCATTTACGGGTATTTATTGTTCTCCAATTTAATCTCTGTTATTGCACACATTAGTTTTCCCTCCTAAATTAGCACACACAGCATATTACTTTGAACCACATGCTTCACCTAAACGTCTGTTTCTTCCCTTCTGGTAACTGTATCGTGGCTCTTCAGGCACAAATGCTTTAGTAGCCAGAATTTCTTGACATACAAGCTAAAGTCAACAATACACTCTGCTATAGACATTATATTTAAAGTACAGGATGTGCTTCCTATTACTGGCTCCTATTGTGTGAAAATTTCACAGCAATCATGGTGCACAAAACCAAAGATGTACACAGAAGAGACTGCACAGTAACTTCCAACATCCTGTGTCCTGCGTAGATGTGCAACACACTGGCTCACCAGAATGAATGGTATAACACAGAGGCTTGAACTTCAGTGTTTACCTTGATAATGCTGCTCCTGCGTGGTATTTCAGATTTGGTGTCCAGACCGGCAGAGGTGTTGGCGTTGTCCACCCCGGTTTGGCTGCCAGGTGCGACGAGGGATCCCGAGCCGACCATATTTTCAGATATCCCACAGTCTCCATTCAAGACCGACACTTCGCAATGCGTCTTACCAGCTGCGTTGTCGCTGGGCACGGCAGTATCCTCGGGATTCAATGGAGGCAGGCTGTCGTCCTCTCCAAACTCCGCCATAGGCACTTCGAGCACACACACACGCTCCCTTTCTCTCTCACACACACACACAAGCTGACGAGCTGCTGGGTAACAAAGCCGTATGTTTCAGCCGCACTCCCAATTTCCTGCCTGGCCTATTGCCTCGATGTAACATTTACACCAAATCACGCCGTATCATCTCTCGGTGCAGATAGCTGACAGGTTCCTACAGAGAGAGGGGTTTTCTCCGTGCATTGTGCTCTGTGGAGAGAAACCACAGCGATTAGCATAATTAGGCAGCATGACAGTAGTAACAACAGCAACGTGAACAGTGGCAGCTTTTGTACAGAAGGCGTTCAGCAGTGCGCTGAAAGCGGATGTTAACTTGCAATCACTACAGGCTGTTATCACAAATGCAGCAAATACAGCCGGTTTTTCCCCCATTTATGTGCATGCTTTCTTGTGCATTTCTGCACAAGTTCGCACACACAGCGACTCCATTACGGTCCATTTAACTGTAATAACAATAATAACAACCCACCCACACCAGCGTACCGGTGGTCGTTAAGGTAAATAACGTTAACAGAAACTTATCAGGTCAATTAACGTCTCCACTAAAGTCACGATTAGCTTCATGTGACGCTCGTCGGTTTTGTGTACTTGCCTTTTAAAGCGCCTGGTCCCACACTATCCATGAATGACCCGTCTTCTTTGAGCACAGCACCCTTTGCTGTCTTTCACTACTGTGTGCCGAGCAGCGCTTAGCTTAGCTACAGCTAACTCCACTCGCCTGCTAGCTGTTTGAAGTTAGTTTTCCCAGCCAACTAAAACTCTAAAAAGGAAGGAGAGAAATGCTTCCCCTGATTTTTTTTTTCAGGTCAGACTTCAGCCGCTTTTACGTTTTCTTAAAAGAAAAATGAGAAAAGAAAAGAAAACGTTGATTTCCCGTTAAATCACGCGCATACAGTAGTCTCCATGGAACAAAGTTGTGTATGTCTCATGAACGCGCAGCAGGAGAAACAGGCCGAGCTGTCAATCAAACCCATAGACAAGGGCTGCCAAACATACGGTCCGCGGGCTCGTACCGGTTCGCCACAGGTTCCTGTTTGGTCCACTTGATGGTTTGGCAAAGTGTAAAAAATTCAGAATAAACCTTAATTACTCCTGTTAATCAATAACATGTACCACCAGTCCTTCTGTGATGGTGCTGAAACTGAAAGATACAGAACGTATTTATAGATCTAGTCCAGTGATTTAATTCTTAAAGGTGTCAAATATTTTTTTCAATGTTTTATTACTTTACAGTGTGATCTGTAAAATATAATGTACATGTACAGCTAACAAAATCATGCTTATTTATCTCAAAAGTCCTCACCTGCTCATCATTAGTGTTATAAATTACTCTCAGGAAAAAAGAAAAATGATTAAGTAAGAAGTAATACCCCTTGTTGTAAAGTTATAGAAATGTGTTTTTTAATGGTTTTTAAGATTTTTAAAAATTTGAGCAAAATTTTTAAAAACCTTACCTGTGGCTGAGCTGAATAGTTCTCAAAGTTTTACTTCATGTCCAGAAGAGAATATTTGGATGTGTAATAATATTTACTTATTAAATTATTAAATATAAACAATTACAGAATGTTTTTACTGAGCTTACCCACTTAAGCTGAAATTAGCTTGCACTTTGACTAAAATAAGTTAGAAATCCCTGCTGTAAACTGCCAGGAAATATTAGACCCACACACACACACACACACACATCAATTACTTTCACTTTTCTACATAGCAAACAAGGCTGCATGCCACACACTTTAAAATACCCACATGCCTTTCACATTACTCTCACATAGTTTAAGTGTTTTCTCGCTGACTTATGTCACATAAGTCGAAACAAAAGTACGTGCAAAAAGGCCACAAAACCAACACCACCACAAAGTCACCAAGAGCATACAGAGAGTAAACTAAGGGTGACTGAACAGCATTTCAATTCCAGGTTTGTATAAACGTTTCAGCCATAAATGGATATAAATGTTGGATGTTACCTATCTGTCTGAGGTAAAATAAAGCTTACACTGTATCGTATTCCAAGGAGACACGACATACCATGCATGCAGTGCAAACCAACCAAAATCCTCTTTTTATGGTAACATTTGGATGATTGGAACAGAACTTTTATCATCGTTTCAGCCACGATAATCCTTATGTTGAATAATTTGTGTCTTACATGGAATGTGGATGACACGGTGCATTTGTGTTTTCATCTTCGTCACAGGGAATTAAGACAATGTAAAGCTGGTTTTCCTCGCTTTCACAGAAACTCCCTTGTGAGTGAACGTAGCTGATTATTGTAATAGCACAACTGCCACCTTCATTGGGCAAGTGTTTCGTGTTATGTCATACTCGGGGAACTATGTGCTAGAGTAGGTCCAACCACCTGGGAAGGAGCTCAGTGTGAATTGTGGAAGTGTTTCGGGGTCAAATGCATTTTGCA